GTGTGCCGTATGATTTTTTTTTGACTGGTGTTGTTTTAAGAAGCTAATGGCACGGCTGAGTTCTCGAAACGACGATAAAGTGGACTTTGGAGAATTCGTGAATTACGTTGTTGAACATGAAAAAAGATTGGAAGCCATTTTCCAAGATTTGGATAAGAACAACGACGGTATGTTATTTCAACATAATTTTCATAAAATTAGAAGCAGCGTATAGTGCTCCAACCAAGACGCTTTGAACCTTATTCAGTAAATTTATATACTTCTCTTTCTTTCTTGGAGCTGAAGCTCTGCCAAAGTGTTGCGATAACATACGCACGTTCAGTACGTTGTGTTCTCACTCTTATACCCCGTATAGTGGTATAGAGGACAAAACATTGATGGATAGTGGAGCTGTTATTTTGTGAACTGTAGTGCTTGTTCAAGCTGCCTGAAGAATGTTCTCAACATCGAGCGGCCCCCAGTAAAGCGAAGACCTAGGTGTAAATAGCGAGGTGAAACTCAATACCGAGGCGGTTTTTTCGTATCCTTTGCACCGGGGACCATCTCCACTTTGCCAGGCTGGTCGGAGGGTACACTCTCGCTCTCGCTCACGCGTTGACTCGTCTTTTTTCCATGATTTCGAATTGTGAAAATGGCTGAAATGGCAAAATTTATTTGTATCTCTTCAGCTTTCTTGAATCTTCAATGGCTACTGGTGGGATGTGGCTCGCTGGATATTAGGCAAATTTCTCGCCGTTTCGCAGCGTTAAACATTTTAAGCTGCGAGAATCTCGGATTCGCTCATGGTAGCGGCGGCCTGAAATTCCTGCTGCGTTTCGCGCTGTGGAACGCGAAAAAAAGCCGTTTTTTGTCATAGCGAACCACACCCCTAATGATGGTGGATATTCGAAGAAACAGCTGTGGGCTAGGCGTATGCGTATTTTTGCGCAAGCTTAGCGGAATCTCGGATGGGTGGAAAAAAGAAACCTGCTTGTGCAAGAAGGAGGGTTTGTGCTTTTTGGGAAATCCCGGAGGTTTTTGGCGGAGCTTACTTTCACCCGGGAAAAGTTCGAAAGAGTGATCGATATTGATGACACTCGCAAGAGCGTGATCCGCTATTGGACCGCACTTGTAGGTCGTGAGGGACAGCACGACCTGATAGTGAGTCACATCGTGTTACCCATTTTTTTCTTTTCTGCTTTTCTTGTACTCATTTCATAAATCATACCTATTCTTGAGATTTTGCATGGCATCTGATGCTGGATGCTTTGGAGAAGCGATTGTGAGCCAGGAATTTGAGACTTCTAGAGAGAAGCGAGCTCCTAGTTGGATGAACTCCTCGGACAGAAGGGGGTTTTCGCAATTTCGAATTTTGTGAGAAACGTATCACGCTTGCCAGAGCGACCTTCGCTTTCCCATTGCTTAGGCAAAAGTCATCATCCTGCTGAGCCTTTAGTAATCTGCGTTATATATTTCCACTGAAAATCATATTCACCATATCCTTGACTCAAAATTTTCAGGACTCGTAGACGTGCGGGAAATCAAAGTCTTTTGTAATGAGCAAGGAATACCTCTTGATGATAAAAGGGCTCGTGTTATTGTTGAGAGGTGAGAAATATTCGAAATATGTTCTGTCGATTCTTTGATTCTTTTTTGGTTAAGCACAACTCAGTAAGATTTCCTGTAATTTTGACTTGATGAGAACGAAAACGTTGTCCCCGACTTTCATGAACACTTTCTTTGAATGCGCCGTTCATTTGGAATGCGCTCAAAAAATGGTTCGTGTGCGATTGATGGTGAAATAAATTTCTCTACATATAGACCAGTAGTGTACGAAATTCAGTGAATACCAAGCGTGATTATGGCTTGGCACGTCGTATGGCCGACGTCATACTTTGCGATTCGATTAGCGATTCGCTAGCGAATCGAGCGAATCGCTAATCGAATCGCAAAGTATGACGTCGGCCTAAGGCAGAAAGCCAGAGCACTTAATCGCGGGGTGTTGTGAGTAAGCTGATGTGATTGAGTTAGTGTCGGACTCGAAGCAAGGTATTCGGGTGAACTTGTCTTTGTAGGTCAGAACAGGTACTTACATAGCTGCACGGTTCATAATGAAGGTTTTATGTGAGAAGCAAGTACACACTCTATAGCTTCAGGAATCGATCACTCATTTTAGTATTTCCAATAGGGGCCTGGAGCGATAGTGCTTAACCTTCGTTAGAATGAGTCGTCAGCAAGGTGAATCGCTCATGGTCTCACTTAGGCCGATGTCAGACTTTGCGAATCGCGCGATTCGCTAGCGTCCGCGGTCGCGTTGCGGTACCAGCCAATTGAGTGATTCACTGGCCGCGACGCGACCGCAGACGCTAGCGAATCGCGCGATTCGCAAAGTCTGACATCGGCCTTAAGGCGAAATAATTGTAAGTGAATCACAAAGTTACATATCCTCAGCACTCGATTCATTCTTTTACTGTCGTCTACAAACAGTCTAAGTCCGGAGTTTTGTTATTACTATCAGCTTTGATGCGAAGTGTTGTAATGGAAGGATAGTTACGTTAAATGAATTTGGCTGCCTGCCCACCATAACCGTCCGTGGTGCTCAATTGAAATATCTGCGCTAGCGCTCGCCCTTGCTTCTCCCTGTCCCTGGCCGCCCCTGCCGTCGCTGTGGAATTTGTCAGCATGCGCCACGCGCGCCCCCTCATAGCTTTGTCTGAGATTTTCAGGTCACAATCATGCAGGGATGTTATGTCGGTGGCGAGTATCGTACAAAATTTAAACAAGTAAAATTGTTTCCTGTGATGCTTTGTTTTCCGCCTTTTACAGGATGGATCAATCTGGTTCGTCATCCGTGGATCTCGATGAGTTTCAGCAATTCATGTTGCTATATCCAAGTTCCGACGTAAAGGACATGGTTGACTTCTGGAGACATAATCTAGTAGGTCATTGTTTACGTTGTTAATTAAGAAGCTAAACCGTTAGGCTCATGTATGAAGTTGAGTCTTTTTCTTCGCTTTTCCTTCTGTTGGTCTGTTTTATTCATGACGTGACGTTGCTATTCTTAGTATTCTCCTTGCACATATGTCACTCAGTGTGTCCACTTCCTAAAATTTGTTTTTTAAAACGTGTGTCACAACAACCTCGGGGAAGGGGAAACATCTCCCAACTGTTTTATCACGTTAACCCGAACGTGTTGCAAACTTTTGCTCGAGCTCGTGATGTAGTAAGTGCCTTTTCTGAACGCCTAGTGTTCCCCTCGATCATCTGGGCTGGAGATTATACGCTCTAAACATTGTTGCATTCTACATTGCCCTTTCTCATTTTCGTGAGGTAGAAGGGTGGTGCACAGAAGTGTTGACAAAATTGTGCTTCCAGAAGCGCAGTGGCGCGGCGTCCTTGACTTGGTCATCAAGTCGTCATAGGTTTGTTGTGTACAGGGTGGGCAGGAATCACGGTAACAAGAAAAAAATGTCTTGGAAAACCAATATGGCCGAGAAGCACCGAATTAACAATACTATCATGTAGGTGGAAGGTCAAGTGTTGTCAAGAGTGTCCGAACTTTCATGAGCAAGTTATCAACCAATCGATGCTCCGATTATGTATAGCGCAGCAGTTTGCCTCGGCACGTCCAATGCAGAGCCTTTCAAGGGAGTTGAGCTGGAAGAATTAAGTTGACACCTCTTCGACATGATTCCACTTCCGCTGGCAACTAATTGGACAATGCTCGCTTTGTCATGGGTGCTCCGTGATCTCTGCTCTATGTCTCTTTGTTTCCTGCCCGAAACTTCTCTGACTGAAGCAACTGTTCCTCGAGTCTGAAGAGTTTCGAAGACAGTCAGTTCTTACTGTCCAGTTCATATCTTAACACAAAGATCCGAGTTCTCTGACCACCTTGATTCCTCGCTCCCATATTTCGCAAAAACCTACATGAATGGCACCGATTTTGCTTTTCGATGATGTTGGTCCATTCCTCATTATTCAAAGCTGGGACTATAGCTGGAGATCTCGTCTGTAGAAACAGTCAAAAAACCCCGCTAAGGAATTGAAACGTCTCTTAGCCCTTTGGTTCTTTCACGTGCTCGCTTCAGTCAGGATTTGGTCATTTTCATGCTCGTCAAGTTTCCTCATGTGGTGTAGGTTATGAATACCTCGCAGTGAAATGCACGACAAATTTTGGAAGCGGCTGCAGTTGCACTCCTGTTCAAAATGGTTTGGAATAACAAAGCCAATCATATTTTTCCATGGTTTCTTGCATGCTAGGTAAGATAGCCCATATACGCAGCGAAATAGTACCTTAAAAGTTCATAGGATTCTAAAAGTGCCTCTCGGGTATCTCCGCCAATGGAATAGCTCTTCAGAGAAAGGAGTGAATTCTTTTCGATAGAGGTTAGTCCATCGCATTGTACATCTCATATGAGGAACTCAAAATATGAACACTGGGAAAAAATGCATAGAATACACATCAAACATGTTTGGTTAAAAGCAACATCCAGGAACGAATTCGCGGGTAAGGACTACCTATAATGACGTTGCAGGTGAGAAGTTGGTCAATGGAGAAAAAAAAAGTAGAAAAACGTCGGGCAGGGGCTTAGACAGGGACTCCCCCTGCCGTTTAGGGAGACGTGTGTTGGACGAGTTGTCCGAACCTGCCCGTAGTACATGCGCTCCAATTGCAACTGCTGGCAAATAGCTGCATGCTTGCAAATACATAACTATTTGCCAGCAATCGAAATTGAAGCGCTTCAATTGCGTTCTTATGGAATCGACCCTCATACAGCGCGGCGGTCCCGCAACGACCGCTAGTCGAGCAAGCGCTCTGCACAGCTGCTTGGAGGCGGCCCCACCACGGATCGGTGGATCCGCCCCTCTTGAAGGATTTCGACTGCTTCCAACGCCTTTCAGAGGTAAGTTTTGAAGTTTGTGACATTTCCCATGAACTCCAATCAGGCTGAGGCATGTTTCCACCACTTGAAAACCAAATGGTTGAAACCCTGCCTGGACTGTTGCTTTAAATTAAAAATCGCAGGCGGCACGTTCTTGTTACCATAAGTCTTACCCTCCCTGTACAATTGCCTTTTTTATAATTTCATGATAGTTATTGAAGAATGTTTTCACTCCATTCGAAACAAAAAGGAATTTCAACATAAGCGCTGCCATACAGTGTTGCAAGATTAGGTGTATCCACTATTGACGGATGGATCACGATCATTAGTTTGTAAACAATTGTTCACACTTGGCGATCTTCCTGGTAGTGGTCTATCAATTACTGCAGTCAGGAGACGGGCGAGGATTGTCATAAAGGGTACACGATACAGTTCGGTGAAGAGCTAAAGAAATTTATTAAATGGTCGGGACTTTCACCACCTTCCACCGCTGTGGAATTCAACGAATTCTGACTTGTTTTTGTTTGTTACCTGCTGTTTTGGCCGCAGTTCGCCTTGCGAATGTTTCACAAGAATGCTGGGTTGTGAACAAAACTTTCGCCCCAGGCGGGACTAGAACCCGCACCTCTCGCTTTCCGGGCAAGTGCGCTACCAGTTACGCTACCGGGGCACCATTTAAAACTCAGCTTCATGGTATACTTACCATAACTTGTCAACACACTCAACACGTTATACGTGTGAGTGCTGAAAGCTATGGTACGTATACCATGAAAAGCTGAGTTGGAATGAAATGGTGCCCCGGTAGCGTAACTGGTAGCGCACTTGCCCGGAAAGCGAGAGGTGCGGGTTCTAGTCCCGCCTGGGGCGAAAGCATTCTTGTGAAACATAAACGCATTCTTGTGAGATCAAAATCCCGATATAAAATCGAAAATAAACTAAGGGGTAATTTGAACACCTGAGCACATGGATAACATTTTTTGTATTGCGAGTTTGTCTCGGGAAATGGTTATCTAAATGTTATGATTTTATACCTTTAGCGCTTTTTGGTTATATCAGTGTTCACCTTTCTCTTTCAGGTGATAGATATAGGAGAGGACAGTCAAGTACCAGAAGACTTTACTGATGAGGAAATAATATCCGGTGTATGGTGGCGTCATTTAGTAGCAGGCGGAATAGCCGGTTGCATGTCTAGGACTTGTACAGCTCCCTTTGACCGACTTAAAGTGTTTATGCAGGTAATTAGTGAATAACAACTTTATTGCGAGCTTTTTTTTTCTTGATAATTGAGGATTTCTTTCAACGCAGTAGGGTAACGTCCATTTAGGTACATGCTACTCGAACGAACAACTTGGGTGTGCTATCGTCGTTGCGACTGTTGCATGCAGAGGGAGGTGTGAAATCGTTCTGGAGAGGAAACGGCATCAACGTTATAAAAATTGCTCCAGAATCTGCCATCAAATTTATGGCATATGAGCAGGTAATCCTATTGTAATGATCAAGCTCATGGGTTCCACTTTTCATTACCGTTTGCCGTTTTGTGTAGATCCTGCTTTTGATCCCGATTCTTATTTTGTCCAGTCAAATGACATAGTCTGTGCTTTTTCGATACTGCTTCGTCGGCTTGCAAAAAGAAATATCAAAATGTGGTAGGGTTGAATAGTCGATTTGTTTGTGTAAGCTTGGCTCATCTTTCCTCGCCCTCTCATAGCAACTGCCATATCCATTTCGGATGGGTACGAAAAAGGTCATCGTTTTTTTTTCTCTGAGGCCCAGCGTCGCATCGCGAAGCCACTCGATCTGCACTTGTGTAAAGATAGTTCTTCTCTGTAAGTAGCCCTTACAATGTGCTGTCAATTAAACTAATGTGTACAGGGGGGGGGTCAAACCCCAGATCACTTTGCATATCCCGCAATCAGATCACCAGTTCTAACACATATCGTTTTGACGCATGTTTGAGGCAACGAACTACCCTCGCATACAAATGTCCCCCTAATACAGCAAAAGCAAACCACCCTCCTTCACTGCCCTCACGACCTTCGGAATATGACGTCATCTGCCGTCGACGTCGAGCTCAACGATGCTCATCTTAGTCGTTCCGGCCTGAAGCTGCAACATAATTTCTTCAATCGGTCAACTGGTGAATAGCTTCCCAGGGACTCTAGCTGCGATATCAAGACCCTTTTTGACCAGCATTCTTCAGGACCTCTACCCGTCCTATGTCACTCGTTCTGGCGACACTCTTCGGTTGACTCGACCCGTATCCCTTCTCGGGTAAAATTCTGATGTCGTTCTACGGGTTTGAAGGCTTCCACTGTACCCCTCTCTCGATAGATCTGGAATTCGCTCTATGCTTTGCAATTAGGACTCATTGCATTTGCTTTCGCCTAGTCAATTAATTGGTATTGAATTTAGAGAAGTGATTTTTTGCCCCCCCCCCCTCGTTATCGAGCACGCAGCGGGCCGGGGCTGTCCAAACGTTTACCTGTGTTTCCTGGCAAATGATCTAATTTGTGTACTAAGGTTTGCGTACCGCATGCCGCATCGTTTAGATTGTCCTGGAATCTTTTCATATTTATTGCTGTAAAAATACGTAGAAAATTAAAAGTACCGAGACATGGCCATATTGTTGACCATACACTTCTATTAGGCACATCAGCCTTCAAAATGCAGTTGTGTTCTGCGCTCCTCAACAGGCGCTACAAGTAGATGTACACGGACGAGGTGGTCCGTCCTGAACATGACCTTTGCTAAAGTGAACATCATGCCGTTTCTAATCTCATTGACCTGATATTGCATTCCCACGCAAAACGAAAATTGAAAATCCTTCAGTAATTTTATTCTGGCCGTCATCTGGAGGGCTTGCCTGGTGCGACATATTTTCAGCTCAATGCATGTAATCCCTTTTCTTTTCAACGTGTACTCTCCCTACTTGTTTAGCTATTACCATATTTTCTACTTTGTTTCTTTCATTCTTTGTTTTCTTTGAATCAAATATTTCCAGTGCAAACGACTCATTCAAAAGTATAACAAAGATGGAGAATTAACTGTCGTGGAACGATTTGCTGCTGGATCATCTGGTAAATTCTTATGCTGTAAATTGTTCCTTTCTGTGATCGCTTTTCCCCCTTTTACATACTCTGCACCCCATTAATTGTAGCATAGAATTAGAAATTCTGGTTGTTTTTGTTTAGATGTAAACTCATAATAAACAAATTCTCAAAACAGTGATTTGAGTATATAGTTTTTTTGGGCACAATTCTACTATTACAACCCCAGTGGGGGTAAGATGGGTCAAAAATAATTTTTTTCTGAAACTTCTCCTATGGGGTTATCGAGGGTCCTGATCACGAATATGACATTCATTTTTGGCGCTGGCGCCAAATTGGCGCCAGTGGCGCCACGACTGATTCCACAAATTCGCTGTAAACTTGTATAGGGGTTATTTGGGGTCCTGATTACGAATATGACATTCGTTTTTGTTGTTGGCGCTATTCGGCGCCTATTTCCTGCTCGTCTGCGCCCTCGCACTAATTAGATCGCAATCAGGACTAAGCCTTTGAATAGTGGAGGGCTCCAAAGTGAGTAGGCCACTCCCCTGTGGTCTACACACTCCAACTTTTGCCACACGGTGCGTGGTTTACCCACTCCGGAGTTTCACTCCCCTCCCCTAAGCTTAGTCTAGGCGCTATAGGTGAGAAAGCTTAGAAAAGCAGAAAATATGCGTTAAACAGCACGAATGTCAAAAACGAGTGTCATATTCGTGATCAGGGCCCCAAATAACCCCTAGTTTACAGCGAATTTGGTGGGAATCAGTCGTGGCGCCAGCGCCAAAAATGGATATCATATTCGTGATCAGGACCCTCGATAACCCCCATAGCAAGTTTCAGCGAAAATTATTTTTTGACCCATCTCACCCCCACTGGGGTTGTAATAGTGCAATAGTGCCATTTTTATGCGAAACTCATCTCATTCTGTCTCATTTTGAAGCTTCGCCGTCATATCTGTCGAAGTCTCACGAACTCGTTCATAGTTGTACGCATTTGACAAGTTTTTCTGCTGCTTCTCAATTCAATATGACAATGGTCAAAGTTCTTGGCATTGAGATCATGATTCTTTGTTCGTTGCCAAAGCTTGGGCTCATTTTCTTCCGCATCTTACAAACTTTTGGGATCGTGTTGCATTCACTATGAAACGCATGCGGGCGGTTATCAATACTCTCTTCACAGCATTTGTGCCGTAGCATTTCGCAACGTTTGAAGCTGAAAAATCGTCTTTACTGAAGGTACGTTCAACTGGCTCCTGCTTTTATAGCCCACAAAGTGCCTCGATTGAAGCGTCGCAGTAATAGGCCTACGTGTTGTGATGAACCCCGTTAGACTGTCTTTAACACGTTGACGACATTGTGCAGCGCATGCGCATCACACCTTGAGCACCGTGTGGGACCGTGTGCAGCGCATGCGCTGCACACACAAAATATTTATTTTTTTCGCGCATGCGCTACTTCTTTTCTAATTTTTTGCATCTATTCTATAGACTGCACCATAATATGACTAGACACGGCGAGGTTCATTGAATGGTTGAATATGCTCCTTTTTAGCGAAGGTTTTCTAAGCCCTACGAATTTCCCAATTGTGTTCATTCCTAGTTTCCTTTATATTCTGATAATCTTGGTCATAAAAAAGAGCAGTAGAAGTAAGTACAGACCCACACATATAGCAAGACATATGTTTTTAGTGGAGCAACCGCGTCAAAAATAATTTTGAGGTTCACTGCAGCAAAAGCAACTGAAACTTGCCTTTCATCGCCAGAAAACGTCAATTCGATCGATTTTTTACAGTTGTCCCTTCTGATAAGTTTGACACATCGAATATCATTCTAAACATTTTGTTGCATCCGAGTTTTGGGTATTTAAAGCTCAAAATTCACGGATTTGATGTGAGGCGGCGGCGCCTGCAAAATCGCCGTGGTCCCACGCGGTGCAAAAACCCAAAACGCGCGTTGTCGTCAACGTGTTAACATCATAGCAATTATTTTGCCTATTCAAGATAGATGAGAAAAACCTGCAAGTCTGGTCAGCCTGCTACACTCACTGACGAGTGTATTCTGAAGTCGATTGGAGAGTCCCGGTGCAATGCACGGTAAGTGGCGGAGCTTTTTTTCAGCCACCAGAGCAGAATGGCCGCTCCTCAATATTCTCCTTGAAAGGTAGTGAAATTGTGGCGAAAGGATATTTCGTGATCTGAGTGGCCACACACTACTAGGACGATAAGATTTTGCATGGACATTTAATTTGCCCCCTGCATCTCGCTTGATTCGCCACTTTGTTGGTGGTAGCAAGAAGTGGGATTCTCGCATAAATCGCACGCGAAAGCACAACTGGCACGGATGCGTAAAACAAGGGATTGCAGCGCCGATTCACGAACTGCAACCTTGGAGGCAACTTTGAGAGCTCAAGAGGCTGCAAATGTTTCGCTCACGGAGAGCTGCTGCCAACGAAGTCCACTGCTATTGGTGAACAATAATGTTAGCAAGCGGATTGGTTTCCCGGCATAGTGCCCAGAAAATCGGAGAAACTTTACTTTATCTGGGCAACCGTCCAACGAAGAAGGTTCAGGCAAATGTTCTTCATCGCTCTTGTGGGATAATCTGACCCACTGTAGTGTTCAGCAAATTTGTAGAAACAGCTCCAACGCTATCCGTTCACCGTCGAAGGTGCTAAACGGGCAGTTCTTGATTGATCCGAACCTACTCGGAGTCAACCTCTTCAAGCTTTTCGCCCCAATTTTTAGGATTTCTAAACAGTCAGCAACCTGAAGTTGCCTGCTGCAGAGTAATGCTCCGACGATTATGGTGAAGTAGTGATTAAACATCTGTGTTGGCTGCACCGAAGAACAAAAAGAATTTCGAGAAACTGTTTCCAAATGCGCAAGGACTTCCGACAACCTAATATTTCTGGCTTAGGCAGCAGGACCCAATCACAGAGTCCTCCTGCCTCAGCCAGAAACATGGAGAGACAGGCAACTTGGAGAGCCCATGAGGCTGCTGCAAGTGTTTTCGCTTGCGGAGCTGCTGCTGCCAACGAAGTCCACTGCTATTGATGATCAATAATTTGGGCAAGTGGGTCGGTTCGCCCGCATGGTACCCTGGAAAATCAATTTTACTTTACCTCGGCAAAGCTCGCCCACGAATTACGAAGAAGTCCATCAAAGCCTTCAAGCTCGTCATGGAAACCTACCCAACCTAAGGCTGTGCCCAGCAAATCTGGTATACGCGACTTCATAGCCTAGTTTTAGCGGTCGGTGCGTATGGAAAAGGGCGTAATCCCAAAACTCAGAATTCGCTAAACGCCGGCCAACCTGAAGTTCGCTGCTAAAGTGAATGTTTTTGACTGGTTATGGTGGTAGTTATTGATTATGTCAGATGTTGGCCACAGAAGAAACAATTTGAAGGAAATGATGCCAAATTCGGCGATCGAGAAGCATTTTCCGACAACCTAGTATTATTTGCATCTAAGAATGTTTGCATTCGAAAGCACATCAATTATTTCGTCTCTGTTCATCGTCGGATTCACTGTGCTGGTGCGCAAATTTCAAGAACGAACGTAGCTTTTCCACAATTAGGCGATACGATAGCTCTATTGGAAAAATATAAGAAGATGCTACGAGCTACAGTTACAGAAATCAGTTGGATGAGAGAACCATTATGACGATTCAACAAAGCCTATAAACACAGTTATGTTACTTCAATCTGTCGTCTTTAAATCAAGGTTTTGAATTGATGTGGTAATTTTCGCTCGTTAAATATCGCAAGTAGTGGATGGAAGGTGTATGGATCGCCAATCGGAGCCAGGTCACCGGATTTGAATCGGATATCAAGCGGAGGGGGGTGTGAGCACTCTGCCTGAGGTGCACTCTCTAACACTTTTGCGGCGCTTGTCTCAGCTGCTGTGTGAAGAGCGGCCAGTTCGCACAGTCCTGCCCCTCGCAGAGGGCAGTTCCCTCACCTGAAGTCGGCTCTTCCTGCTCAGAACCTCTGCCAGCTCCCTGCGCGCATAACCTCACTTTCTATAGTTGATGGCGCCTCTACTTACAGTTGACGACCACATTCTTGTTCTGGATGCGCAGAAGAAAACGACCGAAAACAAGTCGATAACATGTGGCACTGCGCGCCCACCGCGGACGTGCTTACGCTGGAACCTAGGAAACCATCTGAGTAGTCGTTTCTGTGGAAATACGCCTTGTTGCTGTGCGCTGCGGAGAAGTTCAAAAGGCAGGCAGAGTTGAGAGATAATGTGAGCGCTGAGAGTGGTAGAGAAGTCCGAGTAGAAAGAGCATAGCCAGATCAGGAAGCACGCAGGTCATAAGTATCGAACGATGGGCGCACCACCATGTAAGGTTTGGTGGCGGCGTTAGAGGTCTTAGCGCCTAGCATTTGGGTGATGCGTCTCGATGTAGGAAGGCGCGACATCTGCACTTGCGTAGCTGACACTTTTAACCATGGCAAGGGCTTATTAAGTGGGTCTGAGAACGAACTTGAGCTTTAAGTTTTGCACACCAACGCATTTACTGCTTTAAACCAAAGGTTCAGTCCATTTTCTATTTGAGAGCAAATAAAGAGAAGTAAAAATGTTCTGAGAAGTACTGCGAAATATGTGTAACATTATCACATTAGGTTGCACACATTTTGTAGTACAGTACGGTATTACATTACATTAGGTTGTCAAAAAAGTCTGCGCATTCGTCGACTTTTCTTCTTCAATAAGGCCAGCAACTGACAAATATACACACCTTCATTATCTCCGAGACATTGCCTTCGAGCAGGTAACTTATGGTTGCCAATTGTTCAGGAATGCTGAGCTTTTCAGGCGAAAAACTCGGAGAAGTCTTCTCCAAAAGGTCAGGATCGTGAAATTTCCCCTCGCTTGCAAGGCTCAACAACAACAAAGGCAGATAGGATTCTGTTGGTTCTAGGTCGGCTGAAGTTTCCAGGCGGATCAGATCGTCCCATAAGAGCTTGGAGTTTTTGCTGGACCTTCTTCGTAATTCGTGGGCGAGCGTTGCCGAGGTAAAGTAAAGTTTGCTCAGATTTTCCGGCACCATGCCGGCGAACCGTCCACTTGCCATTATTACTGGTCACCAGTAGCAGTGGAGTTTCTTGGTAATCAAGCGTTTGCAGCCTCCCCAACTCTGAGAGTTGCCTCCCATGTTGCAGTGCTGGGATCGGCGTTTGAATCCTTGGTTCTACGCATCCGAGTGATGGTTCCGCGTGTGGCGTACGAGAACAAACCACTTCTTATTGCCACTACCAAAGTTATCGACCCAAACAAGAGAAAAGCGCGGCGACTAAATCAAAATGTTCGTGTAAAAGTTCTCACCTTTGAATGTGGTGGTCAGCTAGGTCACGAAATATCCTTTCGCCGTAATTTCACTTCTTTTGAAGGCGATGAACTCTTGTGCTCCGATAACATTGAGAAAGCTATGCTAGTTCCTGTGACCTGCACCAGGCTATCTTGCCAATCGACTTCGGAATACACTCGCCACTCAGCATAACAGGCCAACCGATTTTGCTCTTCTTTCTCAAGTGTGTGGACTTCTTTTTCAAGTGTG